CTGGCCCTTGATTGTTTTAGTGGGAAAAAAGTGAAAGACTTGTATCTCAGAACATTATCATAATATTTATTCATATTCAATTATACTTGTCCGCTATTAATATCAAGTTTCTTCCATGGAAGAAACAAGAAGCAAAAAAACAAGATAGGTATTAGAAAGCATCCTTAAAAAACATTTTTTTTTACATTTCAGGTTGGATGCGAAAGGAGACAGCTTGTCGTTTTTGAGTATTGAAATTAATGTTCTAATTTGATATCGGTACACTACGTACCAAGTGTTGTTGACAATTATCAAGTTAGGCGGTAACATTACAATATGGTTACCAATACCTTTATATTTGGTTTTGTGGTTGCCATCCATTGTTTTTTCTTTTATTATATTTTTTAATTTTATTCTCTTCTGTAATTTTATTTTATTTTGTATATTGAAATATGTAGTATATTAAAACGAATTTTTTACTGATTTATATTTATGGCAGAATCCTTATTAATTTCATACAATTTTAAGTAAATTTTTTCACAAACCAACATTTCCATGCTTCCCATCATCTATATTCCAGTTTTAGTCTTCTTTCATTTATTCATAAGTGGACATTTCAAATATTATTAGTGTTTACTAAATCTTTTATTAAAAGAATATTAGGGCTCCACTTTCAATTTTTATGGACTAAAAGGATTACTAGATTTGCACTTTGTTTTCTAATAATCTTTTTTTTTTCAAAAGAAAATCCTTATTCTAGATTGAGATTTTGCTTATTTTGGTCATTATGAAATGTGATACGCATGGCAGCAAAATGAAAATAGTTTACAGACAGGTTAAATAATTTGACAGCCGTATATTTTATTGCAAATGTTTACAATGTAAGTTTGCATGGTCATATGATAGTAAATCTATCGGAAATAATTCTTTTTTCACTGGCAGCAAATTGTAGTTTTACTTCAACTTTATTTTTAATTAATGCATTTATTTAATGTTTGGATTGTTTTGTTCTAATTTATGGAGCTTTGCATGATAAAAAGAGATTTTAGAGAAAAAAGTAAAGGACTAAATAATTCCTTTGAGGTTTTCTAAAACTAAAATTTTTCTGGCGCTTTTCAGAACATTTCTAAGACTTCAAAAAGCCTCACTGTAACTTCTGTTTAATGAAATGACGAAATTACATGGTTTCCTGGAGCGGCTTTAAGAAGAGAAATGTTATCCTATGCGTGTTCATTTACATGAGTGTTTATTTTGGAGAAACCTTTGAAAAATCACATTTGATATAGCTTCCTTTATTTTTATTTCTCAAGCGTCGGGTCTAAGTTATAAAGAAAACGTGTTTTTCTAAGAGGTTAACAAGAAAAATAGGTTTATTTATTCTGTTCGACCATACAAGTGCAAAAAGGACAGAAAATTAAAGTTTCGATCTTATTCAGAAAGATCTTTTCTATCTTGTAAGAGTCCATACAGCATAAAGGTCTGTGATTTATTCGAAGGGATTCAATTTATCTTAGTTCGAAAAAAAGTTAGTCTAGAATGAGATAGCATAAATTATTTATCCAAAGTTACAGCCAACGGAGGTAATTATATAAGATCTCAATTACAAGAATGTTAAATTAATATTTCACTGATGTATAAAGATATTTTTGATGTGTTTTACACTCGTATATATATATATATATATATATATATATATATATATATATATATATATATAAATATATAAAGAGTGTTTTTTTTCAGGTATAGAAGTTTAAGTTGGCATTACTTTCCAAGATGGCGACCGATTTAACAGCAGTCAAGTGATTTATTCTCAGTTTGGTTTGGCAATTCATCATGAATAGACTCACGCCTGAACAACGCTTTCCAATTGTGCAATTTTATTTCCAAAATAATGGTTCTGTGCGGAATACGTATTCCCGATTTTCATAAGCGAATTTTGTTTAGCGATGAAGCGCACTTCTGGTTGAATGGCTACGTCAACAAACAAAATTGCAGCATTTGGAGTGAAGCTAATCCACAAGTGTATGTCGAAACACCGTTACATCCAGAAAAACTGACTGTTTGGTGCACTTTATGGGCTGGTGGAATCATGGGTCCGTACTTCTTCAAAAACGATGAAGGCCAGATTAGACTACATCCGAGCCAGCCGTGGCAGTCATATGCCAGAAATCATATTTAAAATGTAATGCCACAAGATTATCTTTCGAATAAAAAAAATTCATGTCAATCGAATAATACATCGTTGTTTTATTGCAATTTAAAAAGTTCTATACCTCTAAAAAAACACCCTTTATATTTTATATATATATATATATGTATATAATCATTCAATTCAATGTTATTTGCAACGGATTCTCTTCAATTCTTCCGCTAATTCTCTCGGGGGAAATATTTTAATACTTTTCATACATTGTTTGATTGAAGAGCCTCTTTTTGTAAAGGAACAATGATTTGTGTAAATTAGAACTCCTATTTAGAGAGTCAATTGAGTTTACGCGAGCGAGAGAGAAAGTGAAGT